TGTGTTGATATATATATATATATATATATATATATATATATATATATATATATATATATATATATATATATATATATATATATATATATATATCAACACAAGATTAATTGTAATCCCATCCTCCAGCTTTTGGTGGGCTTTTAAAGGAGGAGCCACCAGTGTTGATCTATGAACGATGTGAACAACAATGTGATTTCATCCATATGATATTAACTCATTCCATACTAGGCTAGTACCACGCCACAAGCACAAATGTAGAGCTCACTCCCAAAAGCTAGTTTGTAGGATGTAGGATCGTAACACTATCCCAGACAAGGGCTTCATTCGCAACTTTTGATGGGGGCTTAAAGGGTGATCCACCATATGGATTGCTCTTAAGACTCGATGAATATTATGGGGAAAAAAATTCATTCATATCGTTGTATTATATAGTTGTGAAGCTAGACTTTGAACCATCAAAAAATTTGTACAACTTCACGTTTATATAATTAATCAACCATTAGACAAATGACTTTAACATCAATAGAAATACAAATGAATCAATAACAATTACAATACACATTCACAAAGATAATTCAAAGGTTTATCCACTTAATCAACCCTAATATCTTGTAATTTTAAGGATTGTTTGAAACACAATTAAATAAATTAAATGAAAACACCCAGTACCTTGTTGATTCTGGGGATGACATTCCTAAACACATAAACACACTTCGAATTGCTCCCATTTTCGTTTCCATGTTTATATTGGGTACAGTTTCCTCACTATCCTAATTTAGCCATGAAACATTCATAGTATTTATTTCATCAAGTTCATCCACTAGTGAATTCAAATTCATCAAAATCATAACTAGACCCTAAAACATCCATTATAGTTGTTTCTTCAAGCTCATCTAGTGGTGGATTCGATTTCATCGGAATCATAAGTAAATCCTAAAACATCCTTTGTAGTTGTTTTATGAAGCTCATCCACCGGTGGGTTCTATTTTATCAAAATCAAAATTAAACCCTGAAACATCCATGGTAGTTGTTTCGTAAAGCTCATCTTCCTCCCATTTGGGATCGTGATGTGAGTTTCAGAACATAACCCAACAAAATTTATCAAATTCGATGTGACAACATACGATGTGTATGGGTACATGTTATTTTTCATGTTAGTTGTTGGAGAGAGAGAGAGAGAGAGAGAGAGATAGAGAGAGAGAGAGATAGAGAGAGAGGATGGATTTGGGAATGAGGGTGGGGTAGGGGTTAGGGGAGGTGGGAACCATCACTTATTTATAATCTTGAAAATTATAAATTAGTAAAAGAAAAAGAAACAATAAAAAGGGTAATTCATTCTTTTTATATGGACCAAGAGACCATCCGTGTAATTTTTAAAATTAAATTTTCAAAAGTCACAACAATATAACCTATCATGTTTTACAAGTGACCAAAATGAGAAATTGACCAAAGGACCATTAATTCAATTCACTATTATCAATATATAGAACAAATAGTTACAACTCATACCATGAACAACTAATTTAGACAACTTCAATCCTTCACGAACCTCAGGCCGGTCCATTGGTTTATGATGCCCAGGGAAAGATAATAAAATTTTCCTTTATTTTGTACCGAATAGTCCCCACATATTTATAATTAAAAAAACAAATATGCAAATAACTTATAAGAAGATGCATATTAATACAAACAAACACAATCCCAAATGCATAGTGTCATATTGATAAAGTATTTAAACTGATAATGGCATGTATGTGTATATAACGAGGTTTTGAGGCTCATGCGTTGCGATAGGTATTTTAGCAACGTTTTTTGCGATGTAGCATTTGAGTTATGTTAAAATGTGTGTCGCAAATTCATCAATAGCAAACAAAGATAACAAACCCTCAAGAACCATTGTTGTTGTCTATACTTTCTGGTTGTACTCTAGTAGCAAATAAAGATAACATACCCTCTCCATTATTCCGATGTCTTCCTAATTCTCATCATCATCATATTCCAATATATTTCGACCCTCGAATTCCCATTTCCCCACCCCTTATTTTGGCTATTTTCTAGTTTGATTTTGAGATGCTTGCTATTGGAACAATTTGGTTGGTTCTCCTGTAAATACTGCCAACCAATTCTATGCTGCAAGTGAAAACAAGCAAATGGATGAGTCATGATCTGAAAGTTGTGTATGTTATGAAAGATGCCATAGTCTTTGAGAAATCACCTCCAAAACATTGTACAACCCCATTTCATCTTGCATACTTTATGAACAGGAAACAGTATAGGGATCGTCATTTAAGAACCAAAGTTTCTAAACACAACATAGATGATGAAGGGCTCTTATGACATTCTATGATCAACATCTTCCATGGCAAGTTGTTGCGGTTTTCAAAAGAAGAATCTGAGTCACAAACTTAAAAACATGAATTTAAATACAATCACCACATAGAAAAACACAAAATCTTTTAAAAAAAATACAGTTTCAAAAAGTATTAGTATTTGGATATTATCACCAAAAAATTTAAATTTCAAACTTGTTTCTAGAAAACAACAGCTTAATAAAAAGTGGATAATATTTAATAAGGATGGACATAGAGATGCTTGTCAAAGACATCAAATTTGCAGAACAAAACATAAATTATCTTGAAATTACAATGAAGATACCTAAACAAGCAAGATTTACTGTGAGAATTGTCATGAATATTAGTAGATAAAACAAAATTTTACCTGAAATTAGTAAGAGTAAAACCAGCCATGATCAAATTTCAACATCCAATTCCCTTATTGACAATGTATTGCACGTTTCCTCCACTAAAGAATAATTCATGTACCTGATTTCATTTGTCCTTTCATCATCGAATACATAAATTACCATTTCATAGCAAATCTAGAAATCTATCCAAAAAAACATTATTTTTATATAATATTAATCGAACAAGTTACTCTTATGATTAGCAAAATAATTTCACCCAAAATCTGAAGAGGGGTTGACATTGAAAAAAAGTACTCATCCAATGGATTCATGAAAGGTCTGCCCACACTAATCAACATAACTATAGACAATTAGCTAAACATTGATTACTACATAAAGGTAGACAAAGACATTCAAACCGCTGGCACTCGATAATGTCGATTAATAGATGATAGGAGATGAACAAACAAATAAAAAATCACAAAAATTCTCCCAAACCCCATTACTTTCAATCACAATGAGATTTCCAAAAAGAATGAAAGAATTGATAACTTTAATTAGCCTAGGAGAACCTTGCGTTTCTTTAAGATACGAGATCAACGAGACCTTTTCTGAATCATTTTCCACAAACATCAATCTCCTTAGTCGCCTTGTCTTCTTAAGCTTCAATTATTACTTAGTAAGCGTGTTTCTCTGGAGATCAAGAAGTCATAAGCGTGCGGCGGGCAAGTTTAATAGGGTCAAAATTCTTAATAGAGGATAGGTGGTGAACAACACCAAAAAGAGGTCTCTTATAAGAGACATGTCCTCTTTCTGGTGTTGAAATCGAGAAACCTTGTCTTAGTGGTTGGGGCAGACATGTCTCTTATAAAGCATTGGAAGCCATTGAGTGATTGACAGGCTTCAATCCTGTCTCTCATCATAGAAATCCAAATCTCCTTCCTTTAGAGGTTGGATCACTCTCATAAACTTGGTCCATGGTAGCCTCCCATTTTTTTTTAACTTTACCTCTTTAAGTCCCATCTCAATATTATTGATGAACTGGATAGAATAAGAAGAAAGTTCTTATAACGGTTCCCTAAACTCAAAAATCTACGAGATTAGTTGGGATAAAGTTCTCACTCCCAAATCCAATGAGGGTCTCAGTGTCATCAATTTTAGGGAAACTAACCTCTCCTTACTGGGCAAATAGCTTTGGAGACTAGATCCATCATTGCTGTGGGCTAAGCTAATTTTGTCTCTATACAATATGAAGAGGTTTGGAAATTCTTCCCTGTTAGGCTGGGAATCACTGGTGTATGGAAAAACATTATAAGTCTTTCTAAAGACTTTCTCATCTACAACATCCAATTCACTGAGCTATTCAAAAAAGATAAAAAGATATGGGTCAAGGTAATCTGACATCGTTTTTCACCCTCCAAGGTAGAGATCTTTAAGCATGGGATTGTTGTACCTTTGACTCTATGTGTTTTTTGTGGCATGGCAGAGGAAACCGGAATTTATCTCTTCTTATAGTGTCGATGGGTAAAACAAATTTGGACTTTATTGGAGTTTTGGTGTCAAATAAGGATAAATGAGATTAATTCTCTTGAACAACTTCTATGTATCTCACACCGCTTCCTACAGTCCCCATTACAAAAGAAAATCACTCATGCGGTTATTCCAACCACTCTTTTGGTTCATTTGGCGAGCAAGAAACGATCGTGTCTTCAATTAGACTGTAACATCGCCGGTCAAAGTTGTTGTTGAAATAAAATAAAATGTGTTCCTTTGGGGATGGGGTTTACACTTGGTGTTGGCTTGTGGTTGTTAATCATGTTTATCTTGCTTGATCATATTGGAGTTCTCATGCAAACCTGTTGTTGCGTACCTCCGATGCTGTTGATCTTCGTGTTTTTATTTCTCTTCCTTTGTGATTTAGTTGGTTGTTTTCTTTATTATGGATTCTGCTCTAGCTTTTCTTTTTTTCTTTAGTTTGTTGTAATCTTCTGTGGTCCAACTCCCCGCTTTTTGTTGCTGTTCAAAAAACATTAACTGTCGTAAACAAATCAAATTTATTTATAACAAATGTTCCAAATATATTCATTGTTTCCAAGATTCTTTTGATTAAGAGTAAAATCCATAATTTCAACTTTCTCAACCGTCATTCACTTATTCACTAGCAAACATACTTCTCCGAAAAACTTCATTTTTGTAGAGTGTAGCATGTTTACAACATCAGTGATCTATTTGCAACAAAAAGTCATCGACTCATTTACTTTTATCACACGATACATTGTCTAATGTGAACATAACAGAAAAGATAAACATAATTACTTCAAGAAGATGAGCTCTTTGAGTGGGAGTCACGTCCTGAAGAATTGCTTTGTGCTGGTGAACACCTTTTTAAGGGTGAATCAGTGAAGAAAACAACATCCCTTTGAATGTTCTCATCAAATAAAGTGACATTTTGGGGGATCGGAGGCATGCTCACGTCTGAAACCCCTTCAAGAATCCGTTCCACCATACTCATGGCAGGCCTACTCCCTGCCTCATCTTGGATACACCAACACGCAACTTTGCAATTTCTTGTCGCTTCTTCAACACAAGCTTCCCTATTTAATCTACTGTCTAACAGGCTAAGGATATAGCCTCCCTCCATAAGAACATTTGCAACCAAACTTAGGAAGAATGTACTCCTTGAATCTTCACAATGCTTTATATTTCGCTTTCCGTGGACTAATTCAAAAAGCATCATTCCATAGCTATAAACATCTGCTTTAGACGTGATAGCCACCCCGGATATCCATTATGGCGCTAGATACCCTATTGATCCCCTTGTAGTTGTCAAAACCCTACTAAAGTCTCGACCAACAAGCTTTGCTAACCCAAAATCAGCAATTTTTGGTTGGAAATCAGCATCTAAAAGAATGTTATCTGGCTTTATGTCACAGTGAATTATACAGTCTCTGCACTTCTCGTGAAGATAAACCAATTCTTTTGCATTTCCATGTGTGATCTGGTACCTTGTTTTCCAGTTTACAAAAAGGTGTTTTTCGTTTAAAAGATGGCTATCTTGTCACACCTCGGCCGTTGGCGGAAACACCGGGTAGTGTAACGTCATTTTTCGTATCACAATTATATAACATACATTAAACAATACTTAAAGAAAATACACACCTTTATTGATGATTGAAAGTTACATTATTGTTTTTCCTAGTATTTATTACATAATATCCGACTATGACATACTTCTTAAAGATCAGAAAGATACTAGTAAAACTTCTCCTGGACGAATACATACCCGCTTTTCAAGTTCCTGAAAACACATGCATTTTAAAATACATCAACATAAAGTTGGTGAGTTCACAGGTTTTGACTCCATAAAATAATACATTTTTACACATTCAAAAGTATAGTTTTGAAAGTATCATTTTGACTCTCCAAAATTAGATATAATTGTATACTTATCAATTAAGTGTTATATCTAAACATTTCTTAATCTTAAGGTATAAGTAGTTGAAAACTTATACTTAACATTAATACTTGTATACAACAAGGTATAATGTTTCTACAATTTGCTACCATGAGCTTGTAACCGCTGCTATGACATAATACCTCTGATAGAACAATACACTCATGATTTACCATGAGAAAAATTACACTCATGATTTAACATGAGACACAACACTGTACGCTTCATCGATACCAAAACAATAGCAAATAAAAGGATAGTTCATCACTTGTTTTTGGTTGACTGTAGCTAACAGTCACAAGTGGGGTGGTCAGCCCGTATACTAATTATACACGACTTCCTCGCTCACACGGGATTAACAGTTACAGTTCAGAGGATTTCCACTAAGATCCCCAATCTTAGTTGATGAATACAATTACTCATGTAGACTTCGACGGCTTCCTATAGCTCTAACAACAAAAGCATCTTCATGTCTAAAACCTTAAGTTACTAGACTTTGCTTTTAAACATTACTCTTAACTTCATAATATTTAGGCAGTATAACAACTATATCTTGAAGTAAAAACCAGGTTTTATCTTGACCTAAAACCAATAATAACAACATATAACGTTTCTAGTTTTATCTTGACATAAAACTAACAATAACAACATATCCAGTTTTATCTTGACATAAAACTAATAACAACGTATAACATATCTAGTTTTATCTTGACATAAAACTAATAATAACAACATGTAATATATCTAGTTTTATCTTGACATAAAACTATTAATTGCAACATACTATATAATTTAACATATAAAACTTCCGAATATAACTTCGGAACTATATCGCACACAAAATATATATAGAATCCTAAGTATAACTCAAGATCTACATTAATATTAGTTGTATGTATTCAAAATGTTATATTTAGAACAATCATATCTCGATTATCATAACTATATACTATCATATAGACATAATAATAACATATATACAATGACTAACATGTGTTTTCCCCCGAAATATTAGAAAGTGGGGCCGTGAAACTCACCCTAGTAGCGTGATTTTATGATATCTAAGCAGAAACGGTCAGCGTGCGAGATTGTCGGGGCTCGAGATGCAAGAAGGGCTTCAGCAAATGAGAGAGGAGAAAGGAAATGGTGTAAGGAAGTGAATGGGTCGATCTTGCTATTTATAGTAGGATTTTATGACACTCACGTCGTGAGTGTCATAAGGCTCACGTCGTGAATATGGATCCTATCCTCTCGCAGCTTCTAGATTCCGAATTATGACTGAATGTCGTAAGTGTCATAAAACTCACGTCGTGAATTAGCTATTTTAGGGTTTTTAAAAGCTAAATCTTCGGAATGCCATAACTTTTGCATACGAACTCCGTTTTTGATGTTCTTTATGTGCATGAGTAGGTATTTATGAGTACTACAACTCTATTTTATACTTAAATAGCTAATTCTAAGTCTATTTTAAATTCCATTTATTATAGAGATTTATAGTGTTCGGTTTATCATAACTTCTTCATGTGAAGTCAGATTCAGATGTTCTCTATATTTTTGGAATTGTATGGATGTATACTTTGAGTTGTATCATAAAGAAAGTTCATATTTGAATTAGAATCTATCATGAACTACATAACATTCTTACCACATTACTAGGTTAACATAATCACATTACATGATTGGCATAATCACATGTGATTGTCTACTGACCTATTTTGACTAGTGTTACATATCTAGAGAACCTTGTTCCATGTAATCATACACCAATAACTTATTGTTTCCTTTTGCACAAAACCCACGAAGGCGTACAAGATGAACATGTTGGATTATACCCATTGTGCTAACTTCGCTTCTGAATTGCTTCTCTCCTTGGCTAATGCTTTCAAGCTTTTTCAATGCTACAATGGAGGAATCATGCAGTACCCCCTTAAAAACCAAGCCAAAACCGCCTCCTCCTAATTTTTTTGAGAAATTTTTGGTGGTTGTTTATAAATCTCTGTAGGCGAACGCCACCAATGATCCCTCCGTTGTCGTCTTTCCAGGTGAGATTCTCTTTTTTCTATAAATTAAAACTAAAATTAAACCCGCGAGAAAAACCCCACATGCAATGGAACCCATGATGACCCAATCACTCTTTTTATGATATGGAAGATCTTTAGAATCGATTTTGACATAGACTGGTTTCCCGCTATTATTGTCTTCCAAGAAGTTCAAGAGATCTCCATCCAAAGTAAACACTGATTGTCGACAAAAGTGTAAGCATTGCCGGAGCAATTGTTCAAACAGATTGTACGACATTCTCCAACACTCCCAACTGCAATAGAGTTATTCGGAGATGGGTTGTCGTCTTTAATCATGACAAAATCAGCCTTTTCCAACTTGCCACTACACTGCAAATCAGTTTTTCTCACACACCCACCAGAGAAATCACTCTGATCCCAATCAATCTCTGATCTAGGTTTGAAGCCAGTCAAGCAATTACAGAATTGGAATCTAGTCTACCTGCAAATCCCAAAAGCCCCACACAAAGCATACACATCACAACGTGTTTTAGGTTGAGACCACAACAAATTCCAGTCTTTGCCAGTCTCCATCCATGCTAGTTGCTGAACTTGACCAGAAACATCCATTACAAACCTAGTTATAATGGAAGGATCATCCACAAAATAAATGATGTAGCTCTCATTCTCATTCATATGGTAGCTGAAATTTAAAAGGTAATTCAGCCTCATTTCAGGGAGTAAGTCGAATGATTTCCCATTCCAAATCCCAGTCGTCCAATATTGTTGAGAGCCATTCCACTTGCTTAAATACTCGTTACTAGACCGATTAAGCTACAAAGAGAAGAGTCCTACACCAGGATCTTCATTGCTTCTCCATGACGTAAGACGATGGCTCTTTTTTGTTCTATTATCATAACCAAATTTAGCACCAGGCAACCAAGTATCAGTTGGGTGGTCAAAACTTTTCCAAATTACAGATTCAACTAAACTTGAGTGGTCTCTCAAAACTAAGTTTCCATCATCAAGAAGAACAGCTATTGCAGAAGTAGAAGTGGTGGTGATGTTTGTGGACCATATCTGGAACTTGGACTCATTCAAGAGCACTAAGTTACCATTTATGATTTTTAATTATGATTGGAATATATCAGAGACTGGTGTTTCTCGGTTAACCACCCAAACTATGGTGGGAGGATTAGAAAAGACCTTTTTATACCAAATTCCTATGTAATAATTTGAAGTGTTTCCCGCTTTGAAGAACCCAGCTCGAACTTTTCTCTTTCTGATATCATCGTTTGGTTTCCTGGTTGAGACTGGTTTGCAGATATGGTGTTGCCTCTAGTTATGGTAAGAGAGAAACACAGGAGGACCAAAATCCTCATTAAACTGTTACTTTCCGTGGAGCACATGACTTGCACAAAATTTTAACAAGGAGGTGGATAGAAAGAAAAGGAGGTGACAAATATAATATAATAACATGTTATCAGCAATATTAGCTTTTATAGAACTGATATTTGAGGAGTAATTAAAGTTCTTAGAGCTCATGTACAATTGGTTGATAGTGAAAAAGACTCTAACATGCTAAAGCCGCATGGAATAATAGCCATACAAGTCAGTCTATACAAAAAAAAATTGAAACATTCAAATAACTTTAAGAAAATACACAAATTGATCAACGGTGGAGCGGTTCATGATCAATTACCTACATTTCACGTATATGACAAGTCATATCCATGCACCCCTTCCCTCACATAAATGCAAAGTCAAAATTTCTACATGGCGGGACTATACATCCCTTTCTCGATCAGGTCCACGCAAATTTATACCTCGGACAATGGGTCATTGTTTACCACTATATGGGTATAGCAATGCGTTAACCCTCTATCATTAATCTTCAAAACCTTGTTGGGTTAATTGGTTCATCACCAAACAAATAAAAAACATTTTTAGTTCTACGGATAAAATAGGAGAGATTCATTGTAAAGATAAGAAGGATAAGAACGATTAGCTTGAATATTTCAAATATAGTTTAGTGATAATAGTTGTATTATCGGATCCATAAGAATAGGATCATATAGTTGTAATCATATACTATAAATAATATCATCACCCTGAGGGGTAATTCAAGCCAAAATACTCTTTCACCTGGTATCAGAGCGTCGATCCAAAATCGAACCCTAAATTCTCACCCGGTTCTCTTGGTCTCTTTCTAGAGAATTTCTTCCTCGGTTTTCTTCACTCTCGTTTCACAATGTCAGTGCCGGTAAAATCGTCCACCATTGCTACTGCTATTTCCTGCAAACTAACCCGCACAAACTTCTTGCTGTGGAAGGCTCAAGTTGCCATCTCGACGGCACTACACCGGCGCCGCCAGTCACCATTGCCACGAGCACTAGCTCCATAGACAAGGAATCGGTTGAAATTCCAAAGCAATCTCCAAATCCTGAATATAACACATGGGTTATTCAGGACCAAGCAGTAATCGGAGGTCTACTTTCTTCTATGACCGAAGAGGTGCTTCCCCAATTAATTCGGTGTACAAACACTGCTCAGCAATTATGGTCAGCGTTGCATACTATGTTCTCTGCTCAACATCGCGGGAACTAAATCCAAATCCGCACATAATTATCAACCATAAGGAAAGGAGATCTAAGCGCTGCTGAGTATTACCAGAAAATGACGGGTTTTGCTGATATAATGGCAAACATTGGTCAACTAATGAATGATGAAGAAGTGATTGGTTACATGTTGGCAGGATTGGGCCCAGGTCATAGTGATTTATTCACTGCCATTACTGTGCTTAGCAACGAACAAAAAGTCACACTGCCAGAATTTTACTCATACCTGATTGCACATGAAGCTCAAGCCACCGCCATGGGAAGCACGGTGGAGTTCTCGTCCTCAGCAAACAACGTCACACGTCAAGAAGCAAGCAATAACCATCCACCTTGTCGCAACTACAACAATTCTAATGGTTACACCAACACAGGTCACAGAGGCAACTACCAAGGAGGCTATCGGGGACGAGCCAGAGGTCGTGGTTGCAACGATGGAGGACCTCGCTACCAAGTATGTGGTATACCAGGACACACAACTCTTACCTGCATAAACCAATTCACTCATTCATACCAGGCAGAAGACTATCGTAGAGCAAATAGAGTGACGCAACCAGGTCATAATCAAGAATCAAATTGGTGGCTTGATTGTGGAGCCACAGATCATTTGACTAGAAATCTAGATCGTCTTACTGTTCAAGACCGTTACCATGGGGAAGGATCAAGTGCAAGTAGCAAATGGTGCAGGTTTGTCTATTTTCCATGTTGGTCATTCAATAATTCCCAGTGTAACTTGACCTCTCCATCTCAAAAATGTTCTACATGTCCCACATATTAATAAAAATTTGTTGTTTGCCTAAAGACTTGCTGCTGATAATCATGTATTTATTGAGCTTTACCCTAATGTTTTCTTTGTTAAGGACATAGCCACAAAGAAAATCCTTCTACTAGGTAGAAGCAAAGGAGCCCTCTACCTAATTCCTATCAATCATTCTAAAAGTATTCTGCAACGTCAAGGTTTAGCAAGTGTCAAGGTCGCATTGTCTCAATGGCACCAATGGTTTGGTCACGCCACATCAACGGTTGTCAAGACAATATTGCATTCAAATAAGTTAGGGTATTCGTCTAGTAATGAGTCTTTAGTATGTGATGTGTGTCAACGCGCAAAGAGTCATCAACTGTCTTATGATAAATCTATTCGTGTCTCTACTTTTCCTCTTGAATTGATTCATACTGATGTTTGGGGACCAACTCAGACATCTAGAAGTGGTTTAAAATATTATGTCAGTTTTTTGGATGATTATAGTAGATACACTTGGATCTATCTTATCAAAAATAAATCTAATGTTGAACAAGTTTTTTATAACTTTCAAAATCATGTTGAAGGAATTTTGAATACTAAAATTCACAGTATTCAGTCAGACTGGGGTGGGGAGTATCAAAAACTCCATCGATATTTCCAAAAAGTCGAAATCTCTCATCGTGTGTCATGTCCTCATACTTCTCCCCAAAATGGAGTCGCCGAAAGGAAACATCGTCACATAGTCGAAACTGGACTTGCTCTTCTAGCACACTCATCCCTTCCACTTCACTTCTGGGATGAGGCTTTTCTCACAGCCTGTTATTTAATCAACAGGATGCCTTCTCGAACTATAGGCAATGTCACACCCATTACACGATTGTTGAAAATTAATCCTGACTATTCGTTTCTTCGAGTCATTGGTTGTGCTTGTTGGTCGAGTTTACGAAAATACAACACTCGTAAACTAAGTTTTAGGTCAACTATGTGTGTTTTCCTAGGTTATAGCTCCATTCATAAGGGGTACAAATATCTAGACAGAAACACTGGTCGTCTATACATTTCACACGATGTTGTTTTTTATGAAACTTGTTTTCCATATGCTTCCACTCATAATCCTACCAATAACTCTCCTAGGTCTGACCCAGTTTCGTTTCCTAAACATGAACCGACAATTATTAATGATCACATGCGAAACTATGACTTATCTCTACTTTTAGCTAATGATTCTGTTGCAGATACAGCTCCACTCGCATCAGCTCCTGTGACAGTTCCTATTCCCACTGCAGCACCGGTATCTAATGACACCATCAAACAACCATGCCCACATCCTTTCACATGATTCGTCTCCCACGCCCTCCACACCTGTAGATTCTGTTTACTTTGAGCCAGCCTCACTTTCTCCCACAGTTCACATTGTGGAGCCTGCCACGCTAGCAACCATTTCATCTGGTTCGTCACCATCTACAGATATACAGTCATCCATACAAGTTACTCCACATGCATCTCCTCCTGGTATGACTACTCGCGCACGTGCAGGAAAGTTCTTCCCCAAACAATTCACTGATGGTACAGTTCCCTATGATCTATAAAAAAGGGCCTTTGCTATTGTTACCCCTACTTCTCATCATGATGCAATGACTCACTCATCATGGAAGGCTGCAATGGAGTCAAAATTTGATGCCCTCAAAGCTAACCACACATGGACTCTTGTCCCTAGACCTTCTGGTGTCAATATTGTTGGGTGCAAATGGATATTTAAATTGAAGCAACATCCTGATGGTACCATAGACAAGTATAAAGCTCGTCTTGTTGCAAGGGGGATTCACACAACAATATGGAATTGATTATCAAGATACTTTTAGTCCCGTTGTCAAACCAGCAACAATACAATTGGTGCTCTCACTTGTTGTTTCGTGTGGTTAGCATCTACGCCAAATAGATGTCAACAATGCTTTCCTTCATGGTCTTTTAGAAGAAGAAGTTTACATGCACCAACCCCTGGGTTTTGAAGACTCCACACATCCCAATTATGTGTGCAAGCTTCGCAAAGCCTTATATGGACTTAAACAATCACCAAGAGCTTGGTTCTCTCATCTTCGTGACAAGCTATATTACCTTGGTTTTCATTCCTGTAAAGCTGATACTTCATTATTCATCCTCCAAACTTCACAGGTCTGTATTTACATGCTTGTTTATGTAGCCGATATTGTTATTGTGGGATCTTCGAAGCTGGCTATTGACAAACTTCTTCGTGCGCTGAGTTCTACATTTCCAATTAAAGATCTCGGCCGTCACAATTTTTTCTTGGGAATTGAGGTGCTTTACAATTCAGGGGGAATTCATTTGCTACAGCAGAAGTATGCTTCTGATTTATTAAAGCGAGTTAACATGGAGAATTGCAAAGTCGTCTCAACTCCCATGTTAGTTACTGACAAACTATCAAAAGAATCAGGGACACCGCTTACTGAAGAGGATATTTTCAAGTATAGAAGCATGGTTGGAGGATTGCAATATCTTACTTTAACACGACCTGATCTTTCTTTTGCCGTAAACAAAGTGTGTCAATTTTTGGCGAAGCCCACAAATGTTCATATGGAAGCCGTGAAGCAAATACTACGATATGTCACAGGGACTATTACTACAAGACTTCATATTCGAAAATCACCCTCTACACTGTTGAGTGTTTTTACTCACGCGGATTGGGCAGGATGCCTAGATTACAGACGATCGACGGGTGGTTTTGCATTCTTCGTAGGTCCTAATTTGGTTTCGTGGAGCTCTCGTAAACAACCAACTGTGTCCTGATCAAGTACTGAAGCAAAGTACAAGGCTCTTGCTAATAGCACTGCAGAAGTAACCTGGATTCAATCAATTCTTAAAGAATTAGGAGTGGCACAGCCTCGTGCTCCAGTGTTGTGGTGTGATAATTTGGGAGCCACCTATCTCACCGAAAATCCAGTGTTCCATGCCCGTACAAAACATATAAAAGTTGATTTCCACTTTGTTAGGGAGAAGGTAGCAATGGGTGCTTTAGATGTTCGTTTTATATCATCTAATGATCAACTTGCAGACGGTTTCACAAAGCCTATGACTCGTACAATGTTGGAGAAGCTAAGACACAATCTGAACCTAGTGACGGTTAAGATTGAGGGGGATGTA